TGTCCTTGCCCTGACACTGGGCATCGTCCTCTCTCTCCTCCTCTGAATTGGGCTCCGTGATTGGCTGTTCTTCTTCCTCCTCCTCCTCATCCCTGAGACAAGACCAGGAAAAAAGAAACACACAGAAACAAGATGGAAAAGCGAGATGGACATTGCAAACAGGACACCAAAGCACAGAAAGCCAGCTGGGTGGAAGGAGGCCTCATAGTTCATTAGGATAGTCCAGGTGGTTCTAAGAGACCTTCAGTGTGTGTGGGGGGGGAGATGACACAACCCAGAAGAGGACTTCTTTGTCATCATGATTGAATGCCATTACCCTGAACCCTCCACATACGATTCTGAGAAACTTCCTTCCTGAGAGGACCTTCCGTGAGGCTTTTCCCACTTCACTGAATTGCCAGACTCATCCCCTACCTCAAGGATGTATTCAACATCACCTCTGGGGTTTCTCCTGGTCTCTTCAGAGACTGATTCACTGTGGGGATATTTTGGGTCTGGAGCTGTCTGTAACTTCTGATGGAGGATGATTTCCACAAGGAACATCCAATTGCTGGGCATGGTGACACATGCCTCTTATCCCAGCACTCAAGAGGCAAAGGCAAGTTCAAGGCCAACCTGGTCCGTATAGTGGTTTCCCTGGCCAGCCAGTGCTACATATTAAGACACTGTTCCAAACAAAATGAGGAGAGAGGGAAGCAGTCCTCTGATGACTTTAACACCTGTATCCAATAGCTGTCACTGACTGAAGATGCTGTGGATCTAAATGAGCCCCAGCAGCCTCTGTTTTGAACTCTTGTTCCCCAGCTAATGGTGCTGTCTGGGAAATCAGGCTTACATGGTGGGTGGATCAGGACTGGTGGCTTTGGAAGGTGACTGACTGTATAGTCCAGGTCCTGGTTCCCACCACACTTTCTGCATCCCCACCTGCACTGGTGTGAAAAGCTCCCCTTTCTCTTCAACTCATTGTGATTATAATTATAGTAAACTCCTTTGAGTTTCCTCTTTCCTCTGTATTGTTTTTTAATTTACTTTGTGAGGTCTTTTTGTAAACCAAATTCTTAGTAAGATCTAGTTCATCTTTGGTGCCTAGAGTTTTTATATTTTGTATGATTTTTTCTTTTTCTTATATCAGGCCTTTGTTCTGTCAATCATTTTTTATTCATTTGTTAAGATGATCATATGGTTTTCCCCTTTTTTTGAAGCAAATGTAATAAACTGCAAATACTGATATTTTAAAACTACTAAGCCAACCTTGCATACCATAAACTTTACTCTGTTGTAATGTGTTTGTGACTGATCAGATGTGGCAGGAAGAAAGAACAGAGAACCAACATAGTCACATGCATGGATGTGTCTCAGTGCCTGTGTTAGATGTCTCTGTCACAAAGACAGAGACCAATGTACAGCAGGGCAGCAGCCTTCCTGCAGTGCCAAAGGCTCAGACAAGCACATCCTATTTGCCCTGCTAAGCTTGCACAGCCTGTACTCACACTCCACTAGTCACCACTGGTTCTTTTCTCCTTCCCCTGCTCCCACAGAAGCAAGCTCACCATCCATACCCGCTAGCTAGAGGTCATTATCCCTTGACTTGATGGAGACTTTGCTGGAGATGTGATTTCTGTCTATCCTGAATTCCATCTGTCTTGCCAACCCATGGGCTCATTCTTTACAACAACTAACCCTCTCGTCCAAAATACCCTGATTCCATGCACACTCCCAGGTAGAGGCAGGGATGTTCTGAAGCCAGGTTGCCTACCTTTGCTCTCTACCTTGACTACTTCTGAGCAATGCCAACTGTGGGCCTCAATTTCTGTGTTCCTATGTGTAGTAATAGTACTGCTCCTAAGAGAGTTAATGAAAAACACTTTGAAAGGTTCTGAGTACAGCAAACAGGTTAGAACTACTTGCCATCATTGCCATCAGCATCAATGGCCATCAACCCAATCATCATCATCTCTTCTTCCTTCTCCTACTCCTCTCTTACATCTTCCTCCTGACCCTCTGAGGAAAACTCTAACCTCCCTACTGATGAAGACTGGGAGCTGTTAGATTCCCACAGGGAGGAGGCACACACACCACAAAGTGTTCTTCCCCACTACAGCAGCAAGCTCTCAACATTGTTGGCTTTGTTCTTTGATTCTTCTCTCCCTGATGTTTGAAGAGGACTACCCTGACATAAATGGCATGCTGTATTCTTAAATCCCACAACCAGACATCACATAGCACATGAGTGATGTAGCCTTGCAATCACAGTGGCAGGGCAGGACAAAAGGCAGGTGGCACCTTGACACACTGGGAGGCCCACTTCTGTGGAAGAAGTACTGGCCTTGTCCCATGATGCCACAGGGTAGAGAAGGAAACTTGTCTCCCATGGCTTTGGACTACTACTATGCTGATTTGATTTAGTTTTATTAAGCCTGTGATAAAATAAGCAAACCAAATTATTTCCATGTTAATAATATTAAAGGCTGAAGAAGGAATCCAGATCACTTATCTTTTTCCAAGCTGGCTTTTCTTCTGAAGCATGACTGTTTATGGTTGATCCTATTCTGCCAAGGAATTCTGGGTGTTTGGCCTCTAGATTTCAGATGTTTCTAGGGGGACTTTTCTTGGGTTTTGCTTTTAAAGAAGGTCTGTCTCAGTCTATATTCCGGGATGGTCTTGAACTCATGACAATCATCCACCCTCAGTGTCCCAGGGGCTAGGATTATGACTGTGAGCCACCAAACACAGGTTGATTTTCTTGGTTTCAATCAATGAGGAATTACTCTCAGGCACAAGCCTGCTATGAATTTATATGTATTTTCCTCTATACATAAAATAATCCCAGATTTATGTCCACCTCACCTCCACCCATGTTGGAAAAGCTAGAGACCCACAGCCTGTTCAGTTCTGCAGGACATAGTTTCCACCATAGTCAATTTAACTTTCCCAAATTTGCATCTCAGGATAATGGCTTAGATTCCAAAAGCACAAACAGAGAGGATAATGAATGTTGCCAAGCAGTTTCAAAAATGCAGTACAAACTTTCAGAACATAGGTGAACAAAACAGACAAACTCATTTAGAAAGAAACATATCAGGTGTGCATTATGAAAATGGCATAATGAACCCTGTAATTTTGTATGTCAACTAAAAGAAAAGGCATATTAGCTATACACCTAAAGGCACAAAGTATAACTATCAAAGTGGGTAAAATTTGTCATAGCTGGTGGACTCCTATAAAATTCTGTTTTAACCTCTAAGTTGGGGAGCTATATTAACACCATAATGAGACACCATTTCATTTCTACCATGCAAAATTATCTGACATACTACATGTGGAAAAGAGTGTAGGCCACATCCCTCCTTTGTATTGCTGACAGGAAGGTGAAGGGGTTAAACACTTTAATATTGTAGCTAGAACTATCCTGTAAACACATTTATATCCTGTCTAAGAGTCTACACTGTTGTACCCTCGAAGACATTCTGAACAAGATGACCCCTCCCAACCCAAAGGACACTTTGTCCCACCTGTGTAGATGGGGAGATACTGGCATCTAGTGGGCAGAAGTAAAGGACAGTCCCCAATAAGGAACATTAGGTCCAAGATGTCCACAGTGCCCAAGGTAAAGACCCTTCCCTCAAGGCGCTCATATTTATGAACCAATTAATGTTCTTAGCAACATTGTGTGTAACTATCCAAAACTGGAAATGACCAAAATTCCACCAAGAGAAAAAAGAATGACTGTGTTATGATAAAGTCCACATATGGAAAATAAACAAGGTACAGCTTCTCACAAGAATACAGAACCCATCAGAAGCATTCTGTTCACTGAGGAAAACAAACTGGAAGAGTAATATACCACATGACATATATTTTTATCAATTAAAAAACAAATTTGAAGAATACATTGCTTAGTTACACAAATTTGTTATAATTTGTCATAATTCTGGAAAACCCATAAGACAATGACAAATGTATAGCTAAGACTGTCACCCAGGCCTAAGGATTCCAGGGCAATGGACATGCAGACAGATGTCAGTTAGGAGTGACACTTATGCCAGCATCAAGTGAGTCCAAATGTAGTTGGCAGGCTGAATGCATCCCACAGAGATAGGTACACGGCCCACCACACTTGAAGTTGGCAATGCCATGTCATAATGTCAAAAGGTTGGGCACTCCTCTGTCAGTTTTCCAGGTAGGTCACAGTTTTTATATTAATAAATACTATATAAAATAAGCCAAACTAGAACCACAGGCTAGTGATGACAAAACCTTGGGAACCAAGGATGATGATGACTAGTCTAGTTCCATACAAGTGGGACAAACTGTATCATAACTAGATGAAAAACATTTCATTGAAATACTTTGCTGAGCTTAAGACAAAAAGTGTCCCCATGGCTCTGCATTAGCAAATGCTTAAACTGTAGTCTCCACTCAGTCTCTCTGTGACTCACACTTTCTGTTAACATTAGGGTTGTTTCTAGGATACCTAGGGCCCAAGCCTGAAAATTTCCAATTAGTGCTCTTAATCAATTATGACAAATATCTGACCAAGTGCAGTGGTGATGTCATTTAAAAACAGAGTTTTGCCATCTGCCAAATAAAATAAAAGTTCCCTCAAAAGATCTGTACCAGCCAAGTGAATGAAAGACATCTGACAGAGTCCAGCTGCTGCTCTAATGTTTCCATGGTGACGGCCCAAAGTTAGACAGTAAAGTATTTATTGTTTCTGAAACACGAACCACTCAGAAAGAACATGGAACACAGCTCAGGAATCCCAAATATACCCCAAAAGCTGGTTGACTGGCTGGTATCTCAAGACAAAAGCTTTATTTTGCTATTTTGATTAGAATCAAACACTAATGATTTCAGCACATTCTGTTGAAAAAAATAGGGTCTTGTAGTCTGGCTAAATTCAGCCTGCAGAGTATAAACATCAACAGGAAGAAACACAATTAGTAAATGAGGCTGCAGATCTTATCAGTATAAACAGATAAATCCAATGAGAGCAAAAGGCCAGGGGTCTATTTCCTTTCTTTTGCATATACTTTGATTTTATGTTAATAAAAGTTTAGCCACTGTTGCTAATTCATTGTTTCAAATGTAC